TTATATCTATAAAAAAATCAATATAAAATGTTGACGTGGCTTAACCGTGACCGTATAAAATAGGAGGAGATAAGAGTGTATGGGAAATGGGAGGGCAGAGAAGACGACTCTGTAATATATACCCACTATCTCACTATGGAAAAACTCACAAAGAACATAAGAGCATATGTATCTTCCTTTACAGCTCATTGTTTAATATTTTCTTGTTAGGTTGACCTAAAACATATCACATCACATACTATTTTGTTAGTTTAATCCATTAGACACCTGGGTAGGCTGATCACATTCACCTAAAACCCTCTTTAATCCGTACACCCACTACATCATTTTGAGTATTATTGTATTATTGCAACGACAATTACAAGAATAAGCATTACTAGATGTACACCCACTACAAGAATAAGCATTTCCGATCAAAATCAAATTATTATTTTTGATAAACCCATTTAGAATCTGATCAGGGTTTTTGCCTGGATTCCAGGGTAAAAACCTTGAAACTTAAAGGTTGGTTTGATCTGGGTTTTCCAAGTAAGTTCTGTAAAATTATCAGAGAGACGGGCAATACGGCCCACTTCCAACAACACTGATATTGTCCTTCAACTTGGTAATTACCACCTGCACAATCCGTCAGGTGTGGGGTTTTATCACAAAGGGTCTCACTGTTAGTTAGAGTGGGGTTAGGATATTTAAACTATTACTTATCTTTTACTACGGCCGATGTGGGATTCAACACGCCCCATCATGTGAGACTCAATTAGTGGGCCACACGTGGAAGATCCACACATCAGCAACCACGTGGAGCCAAGGGGACTCACCCTACAAGCGGGGCCAAGGAACCCACCATATGGCGCGGGGCCAGGGAACCCACCCATCACGTGACAGTACAGTACGGGTTCGTTCATTGGCTCTGATACATATAGAATTATCAAAGAGACGGGCCATACGGCCCACTTCCAACAACATCGATATTGTCGCCAACTTGGTAATTACCACCTGCATAATCCGTCAAGTGTAGGGTTTTATCACAAAAGGCATCGGTGTTAGTTAGAGAGAGGTTAGAATATTTAAACTATTACTTATCTTTTAGTACGATGGATGTGGATTCAACAAGTTCTGCGTGAAAGTGTTGGCTGCTGCTGCTCTGCTCCCTCAACACTCATTTTTTACATATCGCATCGTCGATCCGATCCCCGCTCCAATCTGCCAAACCAGTTTGTCCCCCCTCCCAAATCCCTAATTCGTATTGTTTATTTCTCTCCGAATTTTGATCTGATTTTTTTTTCCATATTTCCAATAAATCATTTGTTATTCCTCCTCATCTCTCTCAGTGCTTTCACTGAAATTTTCAGTTCTTAGATCATATTTTGTTTCTGATTTTTGTTTGCGTTCAGTGTGATTTTGTGTGAAAGAATCAAAGATGTTGGGAATTTTAAGGCAAAAAGTGGGAGTTGGAAGCTCATCAGCTATGGTACACCCTATACTTCTGCAAATTTATGAACTTTCAGATTTTCTGCCTAATCTTTGTGTTGGTTCAGATTTTCGGGCAGAGGATTCGCCCCGCCATGTCGGCAATGAGTGGTTTCGCATCTTCGGTGAAAAAGGTAATTTGACGCCTACCATCATCTAATCTTTGGCATTTATAATCCATGCGATTGCTTAACAAAAAATTTATGTTTTTTGCTTTTTCAGAAGATTAATTTTTGTGTAAAATATAAATCTTATAAACATTCTACCCATTGTTTAGTTTAACGAATTTTGTAGTGTTAGTTCTGCACCATTCCAATTTTCCTTTGATTGGATAAATAATAGTCTTGTTTAGCTAATTTGCAAATTTCCTCATATTCCTAAGTTAGCATTTTTAGTAAAAAATTTTAGATTTTACAGATTTTTCCAGTTTAGGATGATAAAAATTTAGGGCTTTGATTTGTTGATGTGATTTCCACGTACTCTGAATTCAAATAGAAATGCAAGGATATATTAGATGTGTGAGTAAATTTCCAGTCTTCATATATTTGTTTAACCCTTAACGATATGTGAATTATTGATTGATAATTTGATAATATGTATGCTATTATTGATTAAGAAAAATTAGTTCGTTAATTTGTTGGGCTTGGTTGTTTTGGCATGTTGATGTTTTAAAGTTCCTCTTTATAGTTAGGTTGAAGATCATGTGAATAGATTTTTTTTTTGGTTGGTTTAGATCGGGCGATTCCGGAGGCCTTGTCATCGAGGTTAGTCTGAAGCGATTCCTATCTTATTGACTTATTGCATGTCAAAATCTGCTTCTAATTTGTGATTTAATATAACTGGGCTTTAGAAAAAAATTCATGATTTTGTCTAATCCAATTGAGTGATTAGAAAAATTTTCATCAAATTTCTGGGTTCCTGGGGGTTCTGAATCTTGATGTTGAGAGAACTTGGTTGCTTTAATTGCTAATGAAATTAGCTTCTAAACGTTCATAATTTGCTTTTTTATTTTTGTTCTATATTTTCTTTGAGTTCAGATATATTTGTTTATTTTATTTTATGATATATTGCCGATGCCAAAATATCATATTTACAAGGACGAAGATAGCAAGGCTTGAAATCAAATTTTTATCCTGGTTCTACTGCTGGGTTCACTATTAATAAAAGGCACATGAAATATGGTATTGATTTTAGAGCCTTTGATTTCTCAGATTGTCTTCATACATCGAATGTCATATGAATATAGTTGTAGTTAATTTGTCAAAGTTTGTTATTGTTTAGCTTTTTCAAATGGCAGCCTTGGTATTTGCCCAATATTTTTTTGTGAATTCCAAACTTTGCTTATAATTGTAGGTACGTAAAAGCTGCCAATTGGATTTGTTCCCCAGATGATAATGGCATACCTATATAATGGTTGTTCTTTTGCTTTGATGTAGAAGTAAGAAAATTGTTTTGCCTCTTATGTATCCTGCTTCTTTCTGTCCGTGTGTTCTTTGTTCAAAGGTTGGTTGGTTGTTAAACTTGCTGCTGTAGAAGAGTTAATTTCTGGTAGGCAGATGATTATAATGTTGTTCCTATTATGCATAAGGTCGTGGTAATAATATTGTGAGATTTTGGGTGCGGTTGTTTCACTTCTTAAGTGGGACTGGACTGGCTAGGATTATTGTCCCATGTTTGGTAAGCTTGGGGACTAACTTAAATGAGACTAGCCCGGACTTGTGTGGACTATCTCCCTCGCTAGGTCGTCTTAGCGAAGCTCCTCGAAAATCACGGGACTGCTAAGACTTGCTTCGTCTCTTTTGCGCCGCTTGGCGTCCTCCCTCTGCGAAGACCTTACTTCGTCTACGTTGCGTCTTCTCTCCAACAAGATCACAGCACCACACCAAGACCATTCCCTCGTTTCAAATCCGAGAGAACTACAGCGATATTCTCAACGACCCGACCAAATTGCACCCCTTGCCGTCTGCAACTCCAATCCCTGCCCATGCCCATACCCAGCCCTACCCACCCGTGCCGTCTGCAACTTCAATCCTCACCCATGGAAGAACAAGTGAAGTTGGACGATAAAAGAGGTAAAGGGAAGAGATAGAGGGATTTGAACGGGAAAACAAAGGGATGAGAGAGAAGAAGCTGAACAGGAAAGCTCACCATGGCTGCCATTAAATTGGTGATGCTAAGCTTGAGAGGGAGGGGTTGGGGTTTTTTGGGGGAAGACGGTAGTACTGAGAAAAAGAGGGAGAAAAGGCAGAAAAAAGGGAGAGGGTTGGGAGTTATAGGCGGCGGAGATAAAAATGAATAAGGGAAGAAGATGATTCTAGCCAAATGAAATAATAATAAAAAAATTAGTAGATTAGATTAAATTAATGATAAAATATTGTATATATAGATTTAATAATATAATATTAGAGTCTTGCTTCTTAATTCGGCACTGCATCAAACACTTCACCAAGTCAGTCCAGCTTAGTCTAGTCTAAGCCAGTCCAGCTTAGTCCCTGAAGCTAGTCCAGTTCGAGATAGTCCGGTACAACAAACGCACCCTTTGTGTTTGCATAAATCCAGTAGTGGTTTTGATAATCAGAAAGTAATCTCTCAACTTCTTTGTAATTATAGTTGCTTTGATACTGTCATAGGGACTTTTATCAACTAGGTAATGAGGCAGTGAATTGGGTTTGAGAGTTTTGATATTATGAGAAAGGTATGGAGTATATGGGCAGAGAGGGAGGTTGGTGATTTGCAGAAATGGAGGGCGAGAGAAAAACGGGAGAAAAGGGGTAGTACATTATATTTTGATTTTATAATTTTGGGGGGTTTTGTGTTTAAACTTTTTTAGTATTTTTTTATAGATATAGCCTACAAATGTTTACCCAAAGGTTGGACGTAATCATTACTTCCTATTACAATTATTAAAGTTAATTATCTTTTATATAGAAAGCCGGAGGCCGGTTTTGGTGTCACCGGCTTCGACAAAAATAATTGGACGCAAATGCCTGTCGGCAAAAAAATATTCAAAGCGGCTAAAAAGAATGCATAAAATTATCCAAGGGTAATTTTGTCATAAAGCTATTTTTAAAGAACAAAGTCGCTGGAAGGTTTCAGTTGCCATCCTCTTTTCTGCTTCTTTCTTTCCGTCTGTCTCTGCCCCAGTTTCTTTATCTCCTAAACCCTAATTTTTCTGTCTTTCTGATCTCATGTCTCTACTCGTGCCGATCAGTCGAACACCGTCCAGCAATGCGTCTCCGAATTCATTAGCTTCGTCACCAGCGAGTAATTTTCTCTCTCTCTATCTCTCTTTCTCTGTCTACTGTTAGTCAAATTTGTTTGGATCTTTTCATCGGCCGTTACAAACGGCAACGCTCTCTTGCTGAAAAATAGCGAATTTGGTCTCGGTTTGAAGAAAATTTGAAGCCCATAAAAGATTGCATCTCCTGCTGTCGATTTGAATAGCATCAACTATAGAAAAAAAAAACATCCATTTTTTTCCTTTTGATTAAAAGAGGAGATTTACACCGCAACATACTAACACAAAATTGACATGTAAGTTTGAACCAAATATCTATAAAATCGTATCTTATTTTAGATATACATCATCATAGCCAAAACCGTAGAGGCAGAAAAGACCCAAGGACAAGTACATGGGTGCACAAAAGGATAAAAGGCGTGCATTAATCATTCCCCATTATTTATCACCTTCCTTCTCTAATAATGCCAACGAGCAGTGATTGAGTGACGTTTACTGAAGAAGGCGCAAGGTCAATCACGGGGGTGTTAGCACCACTTGCATTGTTGCCTTCGGGCTGATAGTTGAAGCGGTCATTACTATGCTTGGATGCAGTTGATGGGGTATCATCCTTCATCAAAAAGCTACCTGTTGACAATGTCGTTACATCCTTAAAATCATAATCTGTCAAATAGCTCGACTTCGACATGACAATGCCTATGTCAATATCTTTAGAGAGCATTGCCACCACGCGTGACATAGATGGCCTCGTCATCGGTGATGCCTGCGTGCACATGAGAGCTGTTCTTATCAGTCTAGTCGCTTCATTTTCGTCAAACTCTGTCAATCTTGGATCCACCAGCCCCAGAATTTGGTCGTTTTCATGTAGAGTCCATGTCTGAAAAACATTATGCCATGGTCCAAGGAAAGGGTGAATAAGTTTTTCACAACAATGCCAAAATAAAGCTAGGGGAATGCAATTCCTACCCATTCAAGAAGATAAATCTTTTATGGATCTAAGTTATTGTCAGAGTTTGGTCTCCCGCTAGGGATTTACAGAGCAACGACTCCAAAACCAAACACATCAGCCTTATCTGTCAAATGTCCACGCATTGCATACTCGGGTGCCAAATAGCCTCTGCAATGCAAGATAATCAAATGGTTGTACAATGTTTCTTGAGATCATTAGTGGCATTATTAACATGATGTGTATTAAAATTTCATGCAAGTATAAATGTGACATTGTCCCTGCAACTCGGGTGCTGATGTGGGTTTTCTCGTCATCATAAAACTTTTCCAATCCAAAATTTGATATTTTTGGGGGGAGTTCTACATCGAGCAAAATATTAATGGCTTTGACATCTCGATGTACAATCCTTGGCCTTGACTCCTTATGGAGGTAAGCAAGTCCTCTTGCTGTTCCCAACAATATATTGAATCAAGTAGGCCAGCCAAGGTGCAAGTTACTTGTCTCTGAAATATTAGTGAACACATCCAATCAAAATCAAAGCTCAATTTATAGACCTAAAAAGGCATTTTCTTCTTTATTCTGCAACTGGACAACATCAAGGCTCAATTTATAGACCCAAAAAGGCCTTATTAAATTATCTGAATTCCATGAACACATTCTTAAATTTTAGTGGTGGGATCTCCATCCAGTGGTGGTGGTTCATGAACATATCTATAAACATTGTGTATGAATAAGTAGGATATACATCCATTTACTAAGGTATATTCAAATCTGGCATGCCAGTCCCCTGCCCACTACCAAAAGAAAGAGCATGCAAAAATCAGTTCCTGATATTTATCACCTTCCTTTTGCTCTAATTTCAGCGAGCAGTGATTGAGTGACGTTTACAGAAGGCGCATGGTCAATCCAGGGAGTGTTAGCACCACTTGCATTGCTGCCTCTCGATTGATAGTTGAGGCAAACATTACTACCCTTGGATGAAGTTGATGGGGTATCATCCTCCACCAAAAATCTACTTGTTAATGATGTTGTTACATCTTTGAAATCATAATCTGTCAAATAGCTTGGCTTCGACATGACAGTGCCTACGTCAATGTCTCCAGAGAGCATTGCAACCACGCGTGACATAGATGGTCGTGCCATCGGTGATCCCTGCGTGCACATGAGAGCTACTCTTATCAATCTAGTTGCTTCAGTTTCATCAAACTTTGTCAATCTCGGATCCACCAGCCCTAGAGTTTGGTCATTTTCATGTAGAGCCCACACCTGAAAAACATTATGCCACAGTCAAAGGAAAGTATAAATAATTTTTTTCACAACAATGCCTAAATGAAGCTAGGCGAATGCAATTCCTACCCATTCAAGAAGAGAAATCTTTTCTAGATCCAAGTTATTATAAGAGTTTGGTCTCCCGCTGAGGATCTCTAAAACAACGACTCCAAAACCAAACACATCGGCCTTCTCTGTCAAATGTCCAAACAATGCATACTCCGGTGCCAAATAGCCTCTGCAATGCAAGATAATCAAATGGTTGCACAATGTTACTTGAGATCATTAGAGGCATTATTAACATGTGTGGAAATTTCATGCAAGTAAAAATGTATGTGGCCATAATGTATGTATCCTCTGGAAAAACAATAAAGGATGGCTTACATTGTCCCTGCAACCCGGGTGCTGATGTGGGTTATCTCATCATCATAAAGCTTTGCCAATCCAAAATCTGATATTTTTGGGGAGAGTTCTGCATCAAGCAAAATATTACTCGCTTTGACATCTCGATGTACAATCCTTGGCCTTGACTCCTCATGAAGGTAAGCAAATCCTCTTGCTGTTCCCAACAATATATTGAATCGAGTAGGCCAGTCAAGGTGCAAGTTACTTGTTCCTGAAATATTAGTGAACACATCCAATCAAAAACATTTCTTAACAATTTTAGAGTGCTTGAAACTGCAGACAATGCTATTTCTGTGCAACTTAAAAGTAGATAGGTTTGTACCAAAAAGTGCCTGATCAAGGCTCTTGTTTTCAAGATACTCATAAACCAAAATGCGGTGTCTGCCTTCAATGCAGCATCCATACAATTTCACTAGATTCCGATGTTGCACAGCAGATATGGTAGCAATTTCAGATACAAATTGACTCTTCCCTTGGTGAGATGATACTGAAAGTTGCTTCACAGCCACTACTCTACCATCAGAAAGTGTACCCTACAATGTACATAGAAACACAATTTAGTGACGCGAAAGGAAAGAAAACAGAAGCTATATTTTCTTCTCTCGCTCTCTCTCCTTTCTCTTGTCATTACTTCAAGTACATGATTGATGTAATATGGATTTCACCTTGTAAACGGGGCCATATCCTCCCTCTCCTAGCTTATTTGAAGGATTAAAATCTTCAGTTGCAGTTCTCAATTCAACATAACTGAAAGTATATGGCCGGGGGCCTAATCCTAGAATATCTGCACATTCACAAAAAAGTATGACATAAGTTTTACTTTCGTGAAAGCATTCTTACTTCTGTGTGTTAATGATATGGTCGTTTACCTTCATCGTCTTCTTTTTCTGATTTTTTCCTCCTCATATATAGAATTGCAAATATTAATAGCAAGCTCACAACTCCAACAAGAACTGCAATACCAACTATCAACCCAATATTGCTCTTCTTTGTAAAATCTAAGTGATAAAACAGACGAATTCTTCAATGTCAATTAACAGCAAAAAAAATACATTTAAACCACTCACAGGAAATCTCTATAAGTGAACAAATATTATACCTGAAGCAGCATGGACAGCTGCTATTAGTGGGCCGTAATCACCATAATTGGGTATGCAACAAGTCCCTTTACCAGCCCAGAATAGATGAATTTCAAGATAATTCTCTAACACGTTAACATTAAATTTTCTCACAACTGCTTGGTTAACACCACCTGCCTCCTTCGATATGTCAAAGTCCTTCGTCCTTTGGGTACCCTAGCAACCAAATGAAGAGGTAGGTGATAATTCTAGTCTCCTTTAAATCACTGTCTTTAGTTAATGTAGCTTATAACATCGAAAACCTGTCCAATGAGGTGTTTACTTCAAATAAGTTAGAATTTTTATTCTATAAGCAGTCTTACCTGAATATAGATATCAAATACACGTCGTCCTAGACTTTGCCAAGTTTGTGAAGTGCGACTTTCATAAACCGTCTCTGCAAAGTGCAATGTTACATTGTAGAGCCCATTCTTAAGGCCCAGGCCATAGTATCTCAGTGATCCTGTGGACGTTCTTGAAGTTTGGAGAAGCTCCGGGGTCCCATTTGTTCCGGTGACTTGTGCAACGGTCTTGTTCAACGATGAGGTACGGTCAGAAAGCAAACCGACATTGCTGACAGCCCAATTCTCTGTTACACTGAATGTTGCTAGACCAAGTTCTGAGTCGTCACTCTCATACAATATGCCATCACTTCCCGTCATTTGCTGTCCACCACAGTTGATTGAGAAGCTTGCTGTAATACCAGAATCTACCCATGATTAGCAATGAAACTTCAAATTGAAGACTCATACTAATGTTCTTCAGTCACATATTTCTAACCAGTTATGCGTATTACTGAACTTATGAAAACATGCTTGCAATCTATATCCATATGTATAAATAACTAGAGAAGCAATGCCTTTTCCACTAACATGACGTTGCGTTAAAATAGTAAATGATGGGTGACATAAGAGCATATTACATCGTGGGGTATTTCGATTGCATGGAAAATTTCTCTGGAGGCAATTCAATCGAGGAAGACTGCAAACAAAGAGAACAATTATTAGTTATCCAAATAGAATCATGTAGTGGAAGAGTAGTGATAGTATTGCTTGTCTAAAACAAGTAAGAGAAATTTCAACTCACGCTATGTTTGAACCGTCAAATGTGAAGTTGTTGACCACTAAGTTCCTGCATAAAATCATTAATCAATCAACATATGAAGAACTATATCTTTATCAAATTAAAATTCCATGTACAAGATCAAAACTTAGTAGGTAAGTAGCATTGTGAAAACGAATCTCAGTGATAATTTTTTGTCCGAACATATTCTGGTGATTTAAACTGTAAAATGAAAGTGAAAGATAAAAGGACACGTACAGTTGCGACATTGTGGTCACCCACTGGGGAAGGCTTCCTGATAAAAAATTGTAAGACAAATCTCTGCAAATAACAAAATAGAATCAAAAGACATAATTATTAAGAACTTGTGTAAGATAGGATTAGAATGCTTACGATTATACACAAACACATACTTGCACCGTGCATTCTATATGACTACTTTAAGAAACGAGGACTTACATAGTCTGAAGTTGAAAGCTCTTTTGGCTCGGAAGAGGTCCAGAGAGACTATTGTTTCCAAGAAACCTGGCCATTTCGATTATAGTAGAAGGCACCCAGAAAAGAAAAAGAGATGAACAAACAAAAGGTCAGATGTGCACAAAATCTAGAAGGATTAGTCCAGATCTTCAATCAAAGTAGGGAATGTTGAAGATTTGATAACTTATGTATGATAACGCAAGCAAAATATAATAATAAGGACGGGGATTACAAGTATGTAAGATTACTCAAGTTGAACAAAGAACTTGGTAGTTGGCCTGTCAAATTGTTGAAACTCAGATCCCTGCACACCAACGATAAGTTGAGAAGAGCAATCAGAATGAAAGAAAACTAATTGGTCTCGTTGGGACTCAAGCTTATATTTGCTGGTACGTACAATGTCTTTAGACTTTGATATTCTCCAATATCAGAAGGGATGGTACCGGTGATTAATGCGTTTCGTAGTCCTCTGTATTCCGAAAACATAAAATTTGATAAAAAGAAGATGGAGTAAGATATCAAATTTCAAAAGGAAAAAGAAGTTAGATGAAAGTATCTGGATCGATGAGAATCTTCACTTACAAATCAGTCAAGCTTTTCAGATTTTTTATGAAATCAAGAGAAGAGCTCCCGTTGTATATATCACTGATTAGCCTACATCATTATATGCAAAATAAACTGAAATCCCGTCTTCGGAGAAAGAGAGAGAGAATTACAATTTATGAAACATTTGTACTTACAGATACTCCAATGAGGTCAGTTGAGAAAAGTTGGCTGGTATTGGGCCTTCGAAAGAGTTCCCTTGAAATTCCCTACAGAAACATATAAGAAGCTTGTCAACAAATTATCCATCTCAGGTCTGCTTTCATAAACTACAAAAGATCAAAGGTTTCTCTACTTACAAATGATAGAGTTGTGTCCAATTCCCTATGAAATCAGGTATCTTTCCCGAGAAAGGATTGTCCGATGCCCAGCTAAAATTCAAAAAGTTGAATTATACTAAGCTCATCCAAGAAAAGCAATCTCACAGTACTGGATAAACGAACAAATCTAAAATACGATTTAAGAGCCATTCTTACACGACTTGCATGTTGGTGAGGTTGGCAAATGTTGAAGGAATTTCACCACCGAGTCCACAGCTGTCCATGTAACTGTGAAAATCATAAGGCAACTGATTAATACCCATTTCATATTTTTGCTCATCTGTAAGGAATTAACATGTAATTCAAATTCGATGATTTAACAAAGCACTTACAGTTGCTCGAGCTTGACTAAATTACCAAGTTCTGGAGGGAGTGTTCCGGAGAAATTATTTGATCCAATGTCCCTGCAAGTCATGTTGAACGGGCAAACACTTACTTGAAAGCAATTATTGAAGAGTGATAGAAGGTTCTGTTGAATTGTAAGTCTATAGCTGATTAGGAAATAAGCTGTGTATCAAATTTGTGTATTCAATTGAGTTTAAAATACCAGGTGTGCAGCTCTAATGTAGCAATGCAAATAATGCCAGGTGTAATGATCCTAGCAACTAGCTAGATGTAAGGCGGGGATTGTTTTGTGAAGAGAGAGAATCCACCTTGGATTCTAACGGTTATGTAAAGCACAGAGTGTGTGTGAATTGTAGAGAGATGAAGAGAATATGCTCTGCTAGATTTTGCAGAGAGAGAGAGAGAAACCTTTAGAAAATTCTTCCATTATTATCCTTCTCATTTTCCGTTCTTCGATTGTTCATTCATAACCAGATTTTTAGCTTATAAAAACAGGTTCTGTATCTAATGTTTATGACACAAAACTTTATTGTACGCTCTCTAATTTTTCATGGCTTACAAATATGTTAGCTCCTTAAGGTTTCCAAGCTCCTTGGGGATGGGCTCAGAGAATGAATTGACGCCAATTGACCTGAATGGAGATATCAGTTAGTGAAAGATAAGCACCATTAAACTTAATTACATTACATAACAGGAAACTAGTTCTGCATTATTCAATAAAAGCATAATGATTTTTTTTGTAGATTACGGCATAAATAGTAGCGAAATGGTGTAAAGAACATAACTGTAGATTATGATATTCAAACTGAAGTATACAAATTGCTACGGGTCTCATCAGAAGTATGAGTACTTAAAGAAATGTTCGCTCACTACTTACAAGTGAGTCAATGCAGACATATTGCCAATGAATGCCGGTAGGGGACCGGTGAAATAATTCTGATAGATACTCCTACAAAATTGAAAGGAAGTCTAATCGTTAACTCTTAAACTTATAACATCACCATATTTTTGTTGAAATCCCACATCGGCTAGAGAAATAAAGAAAGAAGAGTTTAAATATCCAAATCCCACTCCAACTAATGTCGAGTCCTTTTGAGATAAACCTCACACCTGACGGATTGTGCAGGTGGTAATTACCAAGTTGGAGACAGTATCGATGTTGTTGGAAGTGAGCTTTTGGCCTGTCTCTCTGATAATTCTACAATTTTTAATATCCAATATATGATTTTGATGAACCAAAAACAGAGAAGGGAGTTGAAAAAAATTCATACAAATATGTGAGATATCTCAAAGCCACAAATTCTTCTGGAAACACCCCTCGTTTGTTAAGAGCATACACTCTCCTGGAAAGCAAAAAGATTGAACATTTAGAACTACATAAAATGGAGCGACACAGTCAAATTATGACGTTAATATATATAGGTAGCAAGTGAAAAATCAGCAGTGGCATGGAAACCTTATTCATAAAGAGAGAGTAGTTTAACATACAATTGGGTGATGTGGCATGTAGCATTATTGTCATAAGAACAGTTGCAAACGAGGGCTGGGTTGATATCGAGGCTTTCAATGTTGGTGAAGTTGATGGCAAATCCACTGCAGGGTTCTCCACTGATATTCCACTGCTCCGCCACTGGTTGTGTGTCCCATTGTTCAAAATATTGAGTTCAACGCCCTCACTGCACTCTCAGTTAATTCAGTCCTTGTGTGTATTACATTATATCACACCATAATTTGACTTGTGTTACCACTTACCAGACTATCTCGAACCAAACGAAATATCAAATTGATTATTACAAAGGAAAATTACCCTTAATTTTTGGATGCTTTGTATATGGGAAGAAAAAAGGCTTTACAAATAAGTTCCTCGAAATTTCATTTCATATAGTCAAAAACACTTCAAAAGTCATTTTGTTGAGGGAAAAAAAGCCCAGTTCCTGGTCAAAAACACTTAAATGTAGCAAAGTGTGTGTGAGAGAGAGGGAGAGAGAACCTTCAGGTGGATCAGTGGTAGGATTTTGAGCAAAGGACAGCTGAAACCAGAAGCAGAGTAATAGTATCCTCATCAGCAACTTCATCTTCATATTGTACATGTGCAGAACTTGCTCTCCTCGACGGCGTGAACTTAAACGACCAACACTTATATTCTGACTGGCTGAATCATGCGTTGCATGTAAGAAGAAAAAGACCATTAGATTTTAGTCATATATTGACAACGTATATATATATATATATAATATAGGGTAAATTACAAAAAACTAACTCAATTATGAGTCGAATCACAATCCCATATCTCATGTTTAAATATTGCAATGTCATAACTCAACTTATGAAGTTGTTGCAATGTCAGAACTCTGTTAAATTTTCTGTCAATCTGATTGTTAAATGATGATGTGACAGTAACGAGAACCACTTTTTTGCCAACTTGAATAAAAAATTAATTTTTTATTAATTTTTTATTTGACAATTAAAATTAACTTTAAAAATAAATAAATAAAAACCTCTCCTCCTTGTTCCGTGGAAATCGTCCCCGTTCCTCCTCCCATCACTCCTTCCTCCGCTCCCCTTCTTCCTAGTCCTCCTTAAACACAGCTAATGTTCGTCCTCCTCCGGGAACAACTGATACACCGCCGATCGCAAAACGCAGGTGGGTTTCGATGGCAAACCAAAACCGGACCCCAAATAAGTGGATTTTGATGGCAAACCAAAACCAGACCCAAATCATCTTGCTCCAACAGTCTTTACATAAAACTAATTTGATTTCTTCATCATAAGTTCACTAAGATTTCGCAAAACTGAGCATTAGAAACCATCCCCTTATCATTTTCCCTCTCTTCAAATCCCATCACCGACTGGGGCTTTCGCCCCACTGCCATTTCTTCAATTTCTTCTTCTTCTTCTTCACCATTTTTCTAACAAAAACCACCAAACAAAATTGCAAAGGGAGAGTTCCAGAAAGCCAAAACGAAGAACCCCACAAAAATGAAACCCAAAACGAAAAACACAAATACAAACCCATAAAATTCAAGAAATTAGAGAAATTCATTTTTTTTTAATTAGAGAAATTAAAATTTCAAAAATTCAAGAAGTGGCCATTTGAAAATTCGCCCAGAATTCCGGATTTTCGAAATCTTCCATAATATTAATTGAAGAATGGAAGTTCATTACAGTCCAATTTTTTTCTTTTTCTTTCCCCCTTTTTTTTTCCCATTTTCTGGGTTACCACCACAGCTACAGATTCGCTTCCCCGATGCGTGTCAACCTCTACACCTTCTCATTTCCGTCTCCGTCCGTTCGGTTCTCCATCAACCACCATTCGATTTCTCCCAACCATCATTCGAATCGATCCACTGCCGTTTCAAAGAAAACCGGACCGATTTTGATGCCGAAGAAGACATGTATGTGCTCGCCGACGTCGTAGCCAGATCATTTCGTTGTAACCTCCACAAGAACCAGGGAGGGAGTCAAAACACCGGATCTTTCCCGTCGAACAGATTGATTATGTGCCGATCTGATATGACGAACTCGCTGGTCCGAATCGGTGGACTCGAAGGAGGCGGATGGACAAGGAAGAAGGGGGACGGATGAGGGAGCAGGGGGAGGAAATGAAGAGAGTTCTTTTTTTTTTTAATTAAGTTTAATTGTGAAATAAGAATTAGCAATTTATTAATAATTAATTAATTTTTTATTCAAGGTGGCAAATGAGTGGATCCCACTCCTGCCACGTCATTATTTAAACAGAAAATTTAATGGAGGTTTGACATTGCAACGAATTCATATATTGAGGTATGACATTGCAATTTAAAACATGAGGTATGAAATTGTGGTTCGATTGATAATTAATGTAGTTTTATGTAATTTATCCTATAATATATTTTGACCAAGTTGAATGATCAAATGGCGGCCACTTTTTTAACTTCCCACCTGGAGTTGGCCAAGACTTTGATCATATAGTTGAATTGTATACTGTAATATTACACATTGAGCTGCTTTAGTGTTGAAATATTTATGTACAATTCTAGATTGTTAATATTTTTCTGGTTTAAAAATCAAGGGATTGACTTATGGATTAACATTCTTGCTCAGTTGGTCAATTACTGTAATTAGGGAGAGGGATTTTTCTCGATAGCGAAAGAACAAAGGATTAATTCTTTGTTAGTTGGTGATTTTGATATGACATCAAACGAAGATGTCATTGTGACAAATTTTAAACTAATCACATTATTATGTCTAACAAAACACATGACACACTATTCAATTAGTTTTTTTTTTCTTTCTAAAAAGATGGGCACTAGTGTCGAACTACGGTTATCCACTTCTTTCGAATTCGGAAAAGGCTAGTTGGAAATTGTACCTTACCTACCGATGGCCTTGTTCAAGCAAGTACGCAGATTACAAAGTAACAAACTCAAGCCTTTCACAATTAGCTTAAAAAATTGCTAAAATTGCATGTATGTTGTAAGTTTGTCCGGTATAAGAATAATATTTCATTCATAATTTTGCGTATAAATACAACGATAAAATGAATTTTAGATAAGGGGACATGGATTTTTTCAAAGAAAAACAAAGGTGGGATTTTCAAAAACAAAAAAAAAAAGAAAAAAAATCTCTGGTGGAATTTTCAAAAGTTGTGGCTGAACTGAAAATTCGATCGGGATGAAAATATCTGCAAGTTGAGTTGAATGATACAGCAAGAAAAGTCAAAAGAGGATATGTTTTGGGAACGAGATTCTCTTCGGATCTACTTTGTGGGGATCCTAACGATTCTAGCATCCTAACCGTTCATCGTATATCATACGATATTTTAAATAAAAAAATCAAATGATTTTTAAGTGCACGATACATGATCCTCACAAAGTGGATTCGGATGAGATCTAATTCCTAACAGAATGAGAATGAAGATGAAAGGTGTTTGGTTATGAGTTTAAAATGATAATTCAGTGTTTGGTTAGTAAGATACAAATATTGGCATAAAGTTTTGAAATACACATGTTGTAATATTATTGGGCCACATCAGAGGTGAGTAAATTTGGGTACTCCTCATTGAGTATCCAAGTATTGTCCTTAAAAGACGGGCAGCTACAAAAGATGCGACTTGTATCATACACTTTCCCTAATTAAAAAAGTTGAGATTCTATCATAAAATCAAGAGTAATATTACACTTACTACCTAGTGTAACCAATTTATACCATCATTTATATTATCTATTTAATAACGGTAGTGTCCACCAACACATGTGAATCCTATCTCTATTAGAGATATGGTATAAATAATGGTACAAATATATGGTAAGAATAATATTTTTGTAAAATCAATTGGCAATATAAAAAGTAGCCTAATTTCTTATAAGCCCTTATATAATTTAGTCTCCTTTTGTCCTCACATTCTCACACCCAACTTTACATTTGGACCAAGTCTCTGCATACGCTTTCCTCATCAGCAACTTGCCGTTGTTGAATGTTCTCATTCACTTGGGGATGTAGATAACATATGTCCTTTGCTATTAATATCGACGACTTCTTCGCTTCAGAACGCCAAGATCACCATCATGACAAGTTTATGGTTTGGTTGCTATGTTCGTTTAAGATCAATATTCTATCATGTATGTTTATGCGTAGATTTTCCTTTTCGTGGTAGAATAGTTTGGTTTCTAGTTTTGCATAAAACAGTACATATGTTAAATATTTCCAAATGTATTGCAAGTTAATTTGATTTAAAAGATGCCAACTCGTAACCTTTCATCATTATTTTGTTCGCTTGCTTATAGTTAATTGAACCAAATATTATTTACAAGTTTATTGGTTTATTACTATTATAATTTGGCTTGTGGGTTTTAATTTTCTCGACAACATTGGTCATGCACTGCTTTGAAATCGATTGTGATTTTCTCATGTTGTGCGAGTAATGATGGCACATAAAAGTTATACTAACATATACCTGCATATATGCATTTTATTTCCTGACATTACACTAATTAAATTCATGTATTTGTTGACAATGAGTTTATTAATTTCAATTCTCTGAAATATGCATGCAAAAGGATAAAGGTTTTGTTTCACAACTTTTGTTCTAGTAGTCTCAAGTGTGTAACGGTTTTAAGATTGGCATGTAGGGAAAACCTATCTTCTGAAAGGATGCGTTTTTTAGACTGGGTAGATTTACCTTGCATTTCGCATAAGATACTAATCTTTGGCGTTGAATATTATGTTAAACGTTATGTGCTACCATTGGTATGACTGCATTTACAGTCAAGGCCTTTTATTCATGTCGGTTGTTCAATCTCGGATATTGCTTTGAGATTTATACATATGATGTTATTATATTTGGCTGTTTGAATGGTTGTGCTATGTACATCGGTTGCATTGCAATGAAAGGTTGGCTGCCAACCCAATGGGTAATTACTTAATGTTGTCATTTCCTCATGCACCGGTA